TCCCCCGATTCTAGGATGAGCAGCAAGCAGAGAAAACCCCACGAAATGGGGCTGGAAGCGTCACCCTTCTGATTTTTTTTTTAGAAAAGTTCTCTGAACCAGCGGGATATCCGGATGATTTCAACACCGAAATGAGAGTTGAGGGCCAGAAGGTTGCCCTCAAAAGGAGGTCTGGGGGGGTTAGTTAAATAGTTCCTTTAAAAAAAAAATCAGTAGAAATCCCCCACTAATATTAATTGCAAAGGAGTAACCCAGTTAACTATAAGAGGACTTGTTGGAGATCTCCTGACCAAGGGCTTCCAAACATCCAGATCCCTGTCCGTTCATCCGTCTGTCCTTCCGTCCGTCCGTCTGTCAGTCCATCCATTTATTTTTCCATCTGTCCACCCACCCACCCATCTACAGGACTTACATGACCACCCATTTCATATCACGATTCTAGGTGACTCGCAGCAATCAATCAAAGCAGAGATAAAAACAAAATTTACCCTTCCCGCCCCCCAGGCACCAGACCAAACAGCCTCCCGGCTGAACCGCCATCATAGCTCAGTGCTTGGGGGAACAGCCAGGTCTTCATGGCCCTGCAGAAGGCTAAAAGGTTAGGGACCCCTCAGATCTCAGGTGGGTGGTTATGCATATACAAATCCCTAGGGGAAAAAAAAAGTGCAAGATCTCTCCCCCCCGCAAAAAGGAAGGAGAAGATCACCTTGTGGTGACTTTTCCATCTCCTACCAGAAGGTCTGCTTTTCCCACGCATTGCATTTATGCTTTCTTCCCCTCTCTTTCCTTCCTGTTGTCATCCTCTGGAGTCATTTGTCGTGCGCTTGCCCCCCTTCCCCGGATGCTCCCCCCTTCCCCTTCGTCGCTCCCGGGGAAGGAGACCATTCGAAGCCTTTCCGCTCTGCGCGCAACCCAGAGGCTCTTTTCCCCTCCAGCCAATCAATGGAAGCCTTTTCGGCCCCGGTGGGGCTCGGCGAACACGAGATCAATAAGTTATTAGCACCATTCTGTCAGCTGTAATGTGGAGATTGATCGGGACTGGGTCTACCAGCACGCCGCTTGGCACTTCCCCAGCCTGATAAAGATGACAGATTAAGGGGATAAAAAAGAGGAATTAAGTCTGGCTGTCAAAGGCTGACATGGGCTGGGGGGCCGCAGCGTGACTGCAGTTGGGCATTTCAGTGACACGCCGGGCACTGCCACCACGCCGGGCATCTGCGGGCAAAGCTGGCTGTTCAGGTTTGCGAAGATGACGTGGTTCGGAAGAGGCCAAGATGGGGAATGAGCGGGTGGGGAGCTGGCACTGGGCGGGCTAAAGAGAGAGGCAGCTGGCACCCCAGAGGGTGCATGGAGAGCCCGCCCGGCTTCTCTTCGTAGGCGTTTTGCAGATTTTAATGACATTTCAGCTTGGGAGGGTCGTTCCAGTCTGGCAGCGGGACGCTTCTAAGCCGTCTGCGTGTGTTAGGGAAAAAAGAGATGGACATGTTTTTTTTTTAAAAAAGACGAATTTTAAGAGTTACAGAGGGTCTTACATGCAGTTTGGGACCAGGAAGGGTTGAGGGACTCAGCTCAGTGCAGGATAGCTTGAAGCTCATTTTTGAATAGCTGTTCATTAGGTCATGCGAGGAGCTGAAATATCTTCCAAGAGTCCAATCAATCAGGAAATCCTTTATGCATCACTAGATAATTGGAAGGATAGCTGTTAAGGCTGCTGGGGGATGGATATTGTCCACAGGGGCTAGGATTGGGAGAATTGTAATGCCCCCTCTCCCCCAGGCTCACATTAAGAGTCCAATCAATCAGGAAATCCTTTATGCATCACTAGATAATTGGAAGGATAGCTGTTAAGGCTGCTGGTGGATGGATATTGTCCACAGGGGTTAGGATTGGGAGAATTGTAATGCCCCCTCTCCCCCAGGCTCACATTTCCCATTCATTGGATGTTTGGGACTATCCCCCGGGTCCTGAGCTTGCTCTCACTCTGGCTGATGGAGGTCTTGCTCCTTGTGAAGAACTGGCTTGTAGGGGTCCCAAGCTGAGGAGCACCAGAAAAGCAGAATTGAGGGGTGGGGGCTTTCCTTCATGGGGGCCGTGGCATGCCTGTGGTCTCCTAGCCACGGCTAGGAAACGGAGCCTTCTCAGTAGGGTCACCCAAGGTCAGAGACCTTGCGGTCTTCGTTCTTTGGACGGCAACGCTAATTTGGCACGTCGAGTGCTAGGGTGAGCTCGCCTTTGGAAAGAAGAAAGTTCTGGCCTTTGCTAAAATGAGATTAAAAAGCAGGGCAGTTCCTGTGGCCTTGGAATAAACTCATTTGTAGACATTTGCGTTCGGGGTTTATGGTCTGTGAATGTTTGGTGAGCAGATGTAACGGTTCTGATTTATTTCTGAACCTTTGTCCATCAGAGCCCCGATGCAACTGTAGGCTTCTTCTCCAGGGTTATTAGCTTGGCTTTTCTTTCTCTTCATCATTTTCTTTCTCTTTATTACCTTTTATGCCGCCCGATTCTCAAGGACTCTGGGCCGCTCACAAGTAAAAACATTAAAAAAAAAATGAGAGTCAAGAATCAAAGATGACAGTGACAACCGCCTTGGAATCCAGGGTTAGATTAGGAGTCCTGGAGAGACTCAAGATTTCTGCCCCTGGTTGGCTGAGCCCAAACATAAGCCAGACTTCTTTCAAACCATGGTTTTGGGGGAAGAAAAAAGACCTGGCAGAGCATTGCATAGAAGAGTCTGCTTTTGAACTTGGTTATTCAAACTCATTCACCCTCATTGTTGAATCCGCATACTGGTTTATCACCTGCATTCATGTTGGTTTATTTTCCAGGATTTACAGCCCGTTCCAGTCAAAATGGGCTCTCTGAGGGGGCACCGCGAAGTCAAAAACAGAACCAGGACTTCAAAAATCCCATGCAAATATTAAAAATGATCCATAGAAATTTAACCCCCTATCATTGCCATCTGGTTAAACTAAATTTAGGGCCTTACCCTGGCTGGAACAACATAATTTTGGCTAGTTTTTGAACACCCTTTGGACTAGAGGCCACCCCAAAGAAAGGTCTTTGGCCTGGCTGATACCTCATGAACCCAAGGTCCTACCTTAAGGTGGGTGTGAAGCAGGTCGGGCAAACCTAGTTGATTGAGGAGACGTTAGTCCTACTTGTGAGTGATTCGAACCCAGAGCTGTCTCGTCCCAACCCCTCCACAAACCCATGAATTGCACTGAAGTAGGGAAATGAGAGAAACCCGTCTTTGCAAATCGGTAGTTCATCTGGACTTCTTCCTTCCTCGTGAAGAAAGATAGCTCCTTGCCCCCCTCCCCAATTGTGAATTTTGAACACCGTCTCGTGGCTGGTGCTTGTAAAAAAGACACGTCTGCACGCCTCCTAAGCCTCCTTATTCCAGGTGAGCATCTCGGATATTTGGCTGTGACCTGCTCACCTGGCCAGGGGGGTGAAACCTTAGGGGTCGGATTGCCAGGGTGGGGAGCATTTTCTCCTAGAAAAAAGGTGGATTTTTTGCAGAAATTTGGAACGGGTTTGGTCTCCAAGACGTCCGTCACCAGCTTGGCCCGGTTGTTCTGTATTTAAATTAACGCTTAAAACTGGTCTCCCCCTTGCAAGAGAGGCTTGCAGACGCCGTGCCAAATCCCACTGGTTCTTGCATCGGCGGCCTCTGATCCTTCAGTGCCTTGGACTACAGCGCCCATCCTCCTGAGCAGCAAAGGGCACCTTTTCCTCCGCTTGGGATGCATTTGCGTTCGGGGCCAAAGTGCAAAACTTTGCGCCACGGTGGTGCCCCAGTGGTTGGCAAAGCAGGCTGTGTGTTTATATTTAAAATCCGTCGCGAGACCGACGCCGTGCTAAAATAAACAGAAGCTATGCCAGGCCATGTTAAATTCCATACTAGAAACCTCTAATTTTGCACACTGCTTATGCCAGGCAGATGGAAAAAATTTAAATAACTTCATTTGCATATCTATTCCTCTCTTTTGCTTCTCGCCGTGGTGGTGGTGGTGATGCAAGGAGATATTCTGGGCATGCTTTGAAACCCCCCCCAGCTTTTCCCATCTGCAAATCCTAAGGACTAGAATCTTGGGCTCTCCTTTGCAGAAAACCAGCCAAGGATGCAGAATTTTGAGCATGCTGGCCGGCCCCTAGCCTAGTTTTGCACAAGCCTTTGTGGGAAGGGGGGGGTATGGATGAGACAAGACGGAGACCCTTACAAGGACAAGCTCTTCTTGCCTGCTCTCATTCGACATGCTTTCAATTCCCTCCCCAGCATCATTATGGAAGAATATTGATTTTTTTTTTTTTAATGTGCATGGGAGAAGGAGAAGAAGAAGGGTAAAGTGGATGGGGAAGGTGGGGGAATGGTGTAATTGTGTATTAGATATTTTGCCGCGGCTGGCAGGAGAGTACAGTCTGCAGTGTGGCTTTTCAGAGGGGTTTGAGATCACCACGGAAGGGGTGGGGGGTCGAATGCGCAGAGCGCGCGCGGGCGGAGGAAGGTGGGGACGGTGCATTGGGGGCGACTCCTCTTTCTGCTCCCCCGTCTCCCCCTTCCCGCTCCCCACCCCGCCCGGACCGCGGCTGTTTTGCATCGGGGCATGGAAAGCCCAGGCTTGCAGGGAAATGCGAGGGAGCCGATCAGATGATGCAGTTAAGTAAGGAAATAAAGTAGGTTTCCAAATATATGGCTGGGAACGGCTGCCATTGATCAGCGCACGGAAGGGTTGCTGGTGCGTGATTAGGGAAGCCGAGCCGGGTGCACATGGCAACCGAGTCCCCTTGTTTCCGCTGCTGGATTGGTGGGGGGGTGTTTGCAGGCCTGAAAATGCTGACCAATTGTGTTTGGGGGGGGCGTGCATCGTTGTGCATTTCCAGCTGAATTCTTTTTCTCCTCTTCTCCCCCCCTCCTTTCCTTCCAGATGAAGTTTTAGGCAAAAGGAAAGTGTGTCTTTCCGGTAGCAACGGAGAGTGTCTTTTGGAAAACAAAAAATCTCGAAGCGAATCTCCAAAAGGTGAGAAAAGGAAATCCCCCCCCCATTTCTGCCGGGGGGGGGATGCGTGCATCTATTTCATGGGGGGGGGGTTAGCACTTCCAGCCTCCTTCTCTTTGAGATCCAGCTATAACAAGGTCTCTCTCGTTCTGGATTTCTTTTCTAAATTATTCTGAACTTTAATCAGGTCGACCCAGATCAGTTGAGGTGCCGAGCATCAGTTTGGTCCACTTCTTCCTCCTTTACCCAAATCTATTGCCAGTTAACACACCTTTGGAGCATTTTCCACCAGGCTCATCCTTCTCTTCCTCCTTCATGTTAGGCAAAATGTTTTCCCCTGAATCCTTCTGCTTGTTTCCCCTCCTGCCTCCGAGTTGGGGAGCCCCCACCCCAATCCACACGTTTATTTGACTCACGGAGGCGGAATACAGAATCCGCTTCGGACCGAGCCAGGGCGTCGTACGTTTTTATTTTTCTGAAAGCGTTAAAATATTCTGCAGCCTTCTATGGGTTTGTTTGAACTTCTGCAACGCTGAGCGAGCTGTAGAGAGAGGGGGAGAGAGAGAGAGAGAGAGAGACGCGCACACACGCACGCACACGCGCGTCACGAGCACGGAACGATCTCGCGAAGCGGCCCGCCATATGGCGTGTGAAGGGCTTAAAAGACCAAAACGCAGATTTGGCACGCAAAATAAGAAATGCTGGGTTTGGAGCCCCAGCTGCGATTTCTTTTTTCTTTTTTCTTTGCAGGGTTATTCAGGCAGCGTTAAAACGAGGAGCTTTTTACCGAGGCGTGTACTGTCTCCCTAAAGCCATATTGTCTGCTCTCACTGAAACAAGATAAATGGGAGAAACGAAACGCGGAAGGCATTTGGTGCCTTAAGAATTACGTAGCGATGTTGCAGGGACGGGCGCTCGGCTCCTTAAACGTTTCTTAACCTCAGCCACTTTAAGATGGGTGGGCTTCAATTATTAGGGGAACACTAGCTTTGCTCTTGATATTTTTTTATTCTTCTTCTTGCACTGATTTTAGGCACGGTTTTATTAGCCGTCCAATCGGATTGTTTAGCGGTGGAGTCGTGAGCCGCCGTAGGCTGGCTTGCCGGGAGCACGCAGGTAGAAATGGGATGATAAGTACAGGTTGTCCTCGTTTAGCGACTACGGTTGGGACCGGCGATTCAGTCGTGAAGCGAAGCGGTTGCTAAGCGAAACCACGACTGTGTACAATCTCATTCCAGTTTCCCTTTGCTTTACAGTCCTTCAAGAGGTCATAAATGCGAGGGTTAGTCGCAAAGTTACTTTTTCATCACTGCGAACGGTCGCTAAACGAGTCATTCACTAAACGAGGACTACTTGTAATGAGAGTAGCGATCATGGTGGGTGTAGACTTCCAGATGGCACAGGCTTCTTCGTTGCCTTGGCTACAGCAGGCAAAGCTCTCTGTCCCGCCGCCGGAAGAGATTTGCCACTGCCTCCAGCTTCCTTTTTATGGGGGATCCTGGGATGGAAACTTCGGTCTTACGCACAAAGCAGAGCTATTGTCAGTGAATCCTGCTGCAATTCTGCTTCGCTCCTAGAGATTTGCGCTCCCTTCTCCCCTGCACTTTCCAAAGCCCCCAAAGAAGCTGACAGACCCCCCCCCATTTTTAATAAAATCAATATGTTCCGGGGCCCCGGAACCCCCCCACCTTTTTTTTTCTCCCCCCCCCCCTTTT